TTTTTTTTTACAATGTGGAGTTTAATGCCCAATGTGACACAGGTGTCGCAGCAATATTTGACAGATCTATTCTATATCAAATAGTTTTAGAAATGCTGTCAAACCATTTCATATGTGAGAAAAGATGTCTTATCTGAAGATTAGAATTGCTGAACCAGTGGAAACTCACCTTTGTTAAGAGAAAACAAAGTTTCCCAAATCAGCCTTCTGGTCACTTTAGCTGCCCATGTGCACTGATAATTTGAAAATGGTGCCTTCATTACCAAGAATCCCTAGTCACATGACTGAATCAAGATGTTCAGTAGATGTCACTATAAGGACCCATGGTGACACCGGTGTCACCATGGGTCCTTATGGGTTAAAGTTAACTATTTACCATAAATTAAAACAACAAATGCCAGAGAAACAATTTATGTGATTCTAAATAATTTTAGCTCTAGAAAAGTCTTTACATTCTTGGACTGTAAGAAATTAATATGTCACAAAAGCTACATCATCTACTAAGCTGCTAATGCTGACCATCATATTTATATTTATAATTTAATAGAATTTAAGTAACACAGAATCAACGAAAAAAAAAAAAAAAAACTGGTAACCTGCCACAAGGTGTCAAATTTCTTTCCATCAGGGATGGAGAGCTTTCCGGTGCCGTCTCTGTCAATGCGATAATGCATCACTTGACCTTCATGCAGTAAACATAAAGCATATGATCCATTTTGATCTCTCTGTCGAATTCTACACATGTAAACAGAAGAAACAAAGGAGATAATGTAGCATTAAACATTTGTATGCTATTGTTTCACTTTGTCATTTTGTCAGGTTGAATCTATTTTGTTACAGGAAGATAAGAGAAATGATCAATTTATTAACCACAGGGACTTTATTTGTTAAAATTAGGAACTTAATGTCCTACTAAACACAAGGTAAAAACTATACAGTTTAATGTAATATTGCAACAAACATATTGCATTTAGATTAAGTTTTATTCTAAATCAGGGGTGCTCAAGTACAGTCCTCGAGAGCTACCATCCTGCAACGTCTAGATCAGGGGTGTCCAAAGTCGGCATCCTGCATGTTTTAGTTCTCTCTCTGGTTTAACACACCTGCATCAAATGATGGCTCATTAGAAGGCCTAAGGAGAACATTGACGTGCTGAGGAGGTTGTTACTACCACCAGGGAGAGAAATAAAACATGCAGGATTCCGGCCCCGAGGATCCACTTTGGGCACCCCTGGTCTAGATGCATCCTTCTCCAATGACTGAATTCCCTCACTGAACGAGCCATTCATTTAATTCAAGGGTGTTGGAGAAGGGAAGCATCTGAAAGTTACAGGATGGCAGCTTGGGAGAACTGGACTTGAGCCACCCTGTTCTAAACTAATGTCTCAGGATAATGTTCCTTTAAAAACTGGACAATAATCAGAGTACCTTACTATTTACATTTCCTTTTGAACTAATTTATTAGTAGTTTAATGCAGTTTATTCAGTAGTATTGACTATTAACTGAATCATTAATAGTCAATAATTTCATTTATTTATTTGGATTACTATTCAAATTTGTTAAAAAGTTCAGTACAAGTCCTTCATTTTGTAATTTTTTTTTACTTTAGTTTTAACAGTATTTAACCACACCTGTTACCACACAGCATGTGAACTGTGAAAAGTGACAGCTGTGACTTGATAAAGCTATTTTCATAGCTCAGGAAGCCAAAAGGAACCAGCTAAGACATCATGACATAAATAGAAACCAGGAACTAAACAGCAACTCAAATAAATGTCCAGTGTTATGCTGAGAAAAGTAGTGTTCCCAAAATTACATTTAAAGTGCACAGGAAAGACAGACCATTATGTAATTTTGTTGTGCATCATACATAACTGTAATTTATGTTGCTAAATTTATGTAACAAGCTACTTCTTGAAGTATATTTAAAGTTATATTTTCAAAATAACTATAAATATACTTGCCATAGACACAGAAGGACTGCAATGGCTTTCTAAAATAAAACATGTCATGGAGTTGAGGCCATGTTTCAGAGGAAAAAGGCCACTTCCTGTAAGATGTTTCACGAAAAAAGGGGCAGTCACACTTTACCCTGTTCTCAGACTTCTTTTTACATGGCTACTTCAGGAAGTCCTTTGCAAACTGTCAAAGCGGAAACCACAGAGAAAGAGACAGAGAGAATGTGTGTGTGTGTGTGTGTGTGTGTGTGTGGGTGTATGTGCCTGTGTCTGATCATGCGACTCCTCTGCCTAGACCACTTCTGCCTCTTAAAGTTTGAGCTAAAACACATGCACTGACACCGTCCGCTTAAATTTTGAAGCTTAAACATAAATAAAAGTTAATATTACACATAAATTAGATAAATTTAAAACTACTAATAGATATGATGACAGAGTGGTAAATGACTTTTTTGTACTACTTTTTTTTTTGCAAACTTCTCCAATGTCAAAATTCAAAATAAGATCTTCATATACATGAAGTAGTGATACTACGTAATTAGAATAATTGGAACTTATTAATTTATTAAATTTTTTTAATGAATGAAAGTAATTATCGTTTTAATTAGACTGATTGTGACCTGAATCAAAAAGAATAAATTTTAAGCGAAAAAGCTGTCAAGTAAAAATGATTGAATATGCTTTCAAAAATATTGAAGTGTTGATATTATTAATAACTATATTTCTGCAGATTCTCTATAAACATGGTCTTGAGTAATTTTCAAATACTTACAAGAATTTTCCATTTGTTCGGGAACCATTCTGAAGCCTGGGCTCAGAGCTCTCTCGCGTTATTGTTCCATGGAACCAGGGCATTTTTTCATGAGCAGTGGTGGCAATGAGTTTCTCCAGCTGAGGCCTCTGACTGATGATAGCCTGTTCAAGGGCTGGACCCTATGTGCATACAAGACTTATTTTAAGCTCAAAGTTAAAATAAGGAGAAGATATAAACCAAGAATGAGTTGTCAGGCCTCATGCCTCACACTTAGGGTGTTTTCACACCTGATAATTTGGTGAACTCGGTTCTAGTGGGGACCAAATTTGCAACATTTGTTAGATTTTCAGCTGGTGTGGTTCTCTTTCACACTGCACTGTGTCAAATGATCCAAACTAGTTGAAAAACCTGTTCCCCTTGGTACAGGGCACAGAATCAAGAATTACTGATGGAAATGACAAAAAAAAAAAAAAAAAACTCCAAGGAAGACAGAAGCTACGGAGCCCCCTAGGGGACAGGAGTATTTTTCTTTCTTTTGCGTTCCCTGACAATAAGTTTTGCATTCTCTCGCAATTATGTACTGTTCAGTTCATGCGGCACTTTCTGCTATAATAGAAAGTTTTCGAAAGGTTTTTTTCCATGTACATTAGTATCTCGTTGTGAAATATCTAAAGTTTTATATCTTTCTCTTTAGGATACAAATGCACCACAAACCTATAATGTAAACTGAAACTTTCCATAAAAAGGAAAGAAATAAAAAATACATCCAAATTATTTGGACTATTTCTGAGTTATCATCACAGCATAATGAGTCATCTGACAGTTTTGATTTTTTTTGTACTGGTAGTCTGAATGGTTTAAAGAGACGTTTTCCTATGCAGTTCCATCTCAGCCTTATAGAAGCAGACATAAACATGTAGTGAATAAATCGATTTTCAATCAGTTTTTTGCACGAAAGAGTTAATAAAAACGTTTTCACTGAGGCTCTTTAAACGTGTATACATTTGAAATTTTAGATTCAAAATTCAATGTGACTGTATGGAAAATAGTCCAGCAAATATTGCAGTAAGCATATTGCGAGGGAACGCAAAACTTATTACGAGGTAATGCAAAAGAAAAAAATTCTACCATGTTCCCTAGCAGACTTTGTATAAGCGCAACTTACTTCTTCACAAAATGTAAATAAAAATTGAGTAGCAATTATGAGATTTTATTGGTTGTAGGATTTCTCTTTTGTTTTTGGTAAAAGACCACAAGCCATTTCTCCCTCTGGTACTAGACTAGCGCATTTGTTTTGGTTGTATTTACTGAGAACGCCCTGCACTGTAGTTCACTTCCTGTTGTTGGGGCGGCCTCTGGTCCTCTGGCATCCATATATGCATTTGAACCAGAGTTTGCTTCAATTGAACCTAGGTTTTTAGGCAGACCAGACTTTGCTCCTTTTGGTCCTCATTGGAGTTTGATTGCGCATTCACACCACCTCAAATGACTTTCTATGTAAATGGACTGGAGTTCAATTAAAGCGGACTAAACAGGGCTGGTCTGAAAGCACCTATAGTCACCACTAGTCTAACTCAGAAATAATAAAGTATTTATAGAGATAAGGTTTCATTATTTTCAAAAAATCATCCACAAAAATTGCTTCTCAAAGGACCTGTTACCAACACCAGGTTTCAGTGACCTAAGCATTAATTCTCCACTTATGAAAGTAAATCTGTTGGCTTTCTTATGGACACTTAATCAACAATTCTAAATGCTACATTGTTGGGCTGAACACCTCAAAAATATATAACACAAAAAAAGAAAGGAAAAATTGTAGCATATGGATAAAACCACACTAAATAGTCCTGTGACCTCCAGGGAAAGCAATGCAGACTGGGTTCTTTTCTGGTCATTTCATTTTTCTTGTCAACAAAAACTGTAAGTTTCAGAGTTGTTAAGAAACCCAAATGTTAATTATTAACCATGGATGTATATTGAAAATATGGAACAAATTTTCATTTTATTCATGTTTCAAAGTTTCTGAAATGTTGTAAGGTTGCCATGAATGACCAGTAAAGCAGCAAAACGACAATGATTAAAATATTTCAAGCTTACTTTCCTACTTTAGCTATTTTACTGCTGATATTTTGGTTAATATGTCACAAGTAAGTAATTGCTGCGCTACAAACATGGTTGTTCTACATAAAAAAAAAGACAATTTTACTATTTAAAGAGTCCAGCTCAAACTGACCTGCAGGTTCCAAGTCTGCTTCACATATTCCCGGATCAGTCTTTCCTTTAAGTCCTCGAAAGGACCAACCTTTGGCTGCATATTTTTGGGTCTGTTGCAGGGCTTCTTTAACAGACATACAAGACCATCCATCTCTTGAGAATGATAGTCTATCACATCTGTTGGGCACCTGTGACTCTTACCACCAGCAATAGCATACATTTCATTGGGTTGTCTTTCAATTGTGTAGTGGTAGAAGCGACCTGAATTAGAAACAGACAGTGCAAAGCCTCCAAGATAGTTTCGACTTTGCCGTAGTAAGTACAAGCCGTTGTTCATTCCTGCCTGTCTCAGATAGACTTCTGCCTCCTCTCTGGTTATGTTGCCGTAGAAGAATGGCAATGCATACACATTGTCAGCCATCTTGACTTCTTGGCAGCTTCTTTTTGAAAGTTCTGTCACAAAGATAAAATAATAATAGATAATAAGAAAATAATATATTATTGATCCCCAAACAGAGGGTACTTTTTTTGTCCCAGCATAGCACACAAAAATTCAGACAAGAGATAATAACAACAAAAATGATGATAATAATAATAATAATAATATAACAATGAGCAGTGATAGTCTTAAAGACACACACTCAGTAAATTGCTAAATATATTTTTATTATTTAAAATGCACAACTCTAGAACATGTCTCAAAAAAGAGCATGAAGTCATGAAGTGGTGTGGTGGAGGTGAGGCAGAACGCAGACGACCCAGGTTGTGGATGAAAAATGGTGGTTTTAATGATAAATAGCTCAAAAACAGTCCAGGAAGCAGGCAGCATGGCAGAGCGGAAGGCTAAAGCTCAGCACCGGTAGCAACTGAACACAGAACTGAAAAATGAGAGCCAACGCCGACACAGGACAAGTCGGTACAACTGTGACGACTCATACATACGACTTGTCTCTGTTTGTCGGATCCACGACAAGGATCCGACAAACACAGAGACAACAGGTGGACTTAAATACACAGAAGGTAATCACAGGGAACGAGACACAGCAGAGGAACAATCAAGGGGGAAGACAGAACAACACGGAGACTCACTGGACAAGGAAACTAAAAATAAACACAGAAAACTCAAATACATGCTCAAACTCATTAAATTTTCAGCTTCAGTGTGAAAATTTGAAGCAGACTGAGATTTTGGCTTTAACTGTATCTCCATAAGAATCAAAAGACCATGATTGGACTTCCATAAAAATATAGTTTTGAAATGTTAGTTTGCTTCAAATTAAAAATAAAAAAAAGATCAGCTATCCCTTACACATGGGTATCACATATTTTATGTATCACATCATGTGATGCATGTTTCACATATTTATCATATTTTACTGTCTCAAATGTTTTAATATGTGAGACAATATCACACATTTTCACATTTGTATCATGTTGTACACATGTTTTATGTGATACACATATGAAAATGTGATAAACTTAAGAAACATCCTACACATGAAAACGTGTAGCACATGTGTATCCCCTGTGATACACATTCGATGCACATGTGATGTATCACATATATTCCATGTGATACACATGTGGAAATATGTGAAGACCATGTGATAACATGAGAATCACATGGGGTTTTAAAATGAAACATTCCAAAGTCGCACGTATACATGTGTTTTTACATGTGATTCACATCATTCACATGTCATTCATACATGAACATTTGTGTGGACCACGTGAAGTTTTAATGTGGTACATGGGTTTCACATGTGACTTTCACATGTGAATTTCATGGGATTTTTTGTAAGGGATGTTTTGAATGCTCAATATTAAGCAAATTGTGAGGATTTGTTGTTTTTTTGGTGTTAATTGAGTGTCTGTGTTGTCACATCTTGTCTTTGATTGTTCCCAGCTGTGTCTTGTGTTCCCTGATTACTCAATGTGTATTTAATCTCACCGTTGTCCCTTTTTCATGGTCGGATCCCCGTTGTGCTTTTGTCAGTAGTTGTAAGTCTTGTCATTTGTCGTCACTTTGTCTCATTCCAGCCTAGTGTATTTCCAGTTGGTACCAGTGTCTGAGCTCCTAGCCTTACTGCTCACCTGTGCTACCTGGATTTTGTGTTTATCTTCATTGAAAGCAGAATTTCACTACAACCTGGGTCCACCACATTGTAGTGAAATGATGGTCATGAACCAGTACTGTATCTGTTACTGGTTCAACTGATCTCCTATTATCCTTTTTTTTTTTCTTTTTTTTTTTGCCACAATCATAATAGCTGTCTGATTTTCCTCATCCTCTTTCCCCCTTTTTCAGAGTTTGACTCCATGAGACCTGAAAGTTTCACTTCTTTTAGGCTTGGACCGATATTTCAGTGTGATATTTCCTGGTATGATTCAGTTGTGCCAGAAAAATTACAATCTGACATCTTCCATCATACTTGCTCTAGATTTTTCGTCAGGTTTTTGAAATTGCAGTGTATGACAGAACTGCATGCACTGTGAAAAGAAATTAGTTGGACAAACTTAACTGAATTGTTTCAATTGGTAACAAGTAATTCAATTAAGTTTACTAAACTTAATTTATTAATTTTAACCAACATAAGTTATGTATATCTAACTCAATATATTACGATCAGCTAACTCAATTCATTAAGTTCATCCAACTCAATTTAATTTTTTTTCTTTACCGAATTCATTAAGTGTGTTTAAAATGACAAATTTAAGTTAAAATTTACTCAGATCATTTAGTCTATTTCAAATAAAGAAGGAAACTAATAAATGATCGCTTTTTTACTTCAGTTAGACAGAAAAGTGAGAGGAAAGACAAGCAGCTAAGGTCATCTGGTAGGAAACAAACTTGCAACAGCTGTGTCAAGGTGCTTAACCCCCCACCACAGTATCTGGTTGGATCTGTTCATGATGAAGCAATATTGAACTTAATTGTTTTGAAACAATTATGTTTGTATCTTCCATCTGATGCTATGACACAAGCTCCACCAGGGACAGAACCTATATCTGCTGTGGTGGTGCAGTGGTCTTTGTCCTTGACATGGCCATCACTGCATGTCTTCCCCCTCTTATTTATTAAGTTAAACCATCCATCTTCTGTACACTCTTGTCCCTTAGTGGGGACAGAGACAGACAGGACAAACAACCATGCACACACACACTCACACCTAGGGATAATTTGGAGAGACCAATTAACCTGATAGTCATGTAAAAACATGACTATGGGAGGAAGCTGGAGAAAACCCACCATGCACAGGGAGAACATGCAAACTCCATGCAGAAAGACCCCAGGCTGGGAATTGAACCCAGAACCTTCTTGCTCCAAGGCAACAGTGCTACCAACTGTGCCACTGTGCAGCCCTTAAGTTAAACCAGCTTAATAAATTAAGTTGAATACACTATTTTCTTTTTTCAGTATACAGGATCTTTGACAAACCAAAATAACATGTTAAAACATACATTTAAGTTCTAGTTGCACTTTAAGTACAATGTGAGTGAGAATATAATTGTGTATATTTTAGTTTTTTAGTTTGGAACAACTTCAAAATTTGAGTAGATTTTCTGTAGAATTTAACAAAAGAAATCTGAATTATTTATTAGACAGAAATAAATTATTTGAGTAAGAGTGACTTAAGTTTGTCATGCTAAACACACTTAATGAATTAAGTTATAAAAACTTAGTAAATTGAGTCAGATGAACTTAGTGAATTGGTCAGATGTAGGATACGAAACTGGCATTGAACACAATTGTTTCAAATAAAGTCAAAGCAAAAAGTTCCTTCAAGTAGCTAGATTTGTAATTTTTAAGTTATTTGATCTCAAAAATGTAAATTGCCATCACTAAACCAACTGAATTAAGTGAGATTAATGTAAATAAGTCCATAAAATGAACTACAGCCAAAAACACTGCAAAGAATTACAAACTTTAATGAACTCATGTCTAAACATACAAGCAATGTCTGCCCCTGTCAGGCAATGTCCTGGCAGCTGGCAGCTGCAACTAAAAGTATTTCTCCAATCTAAATACTCATATTAGTAGAAAAAGACGTCACATGGTAGAGAAGTCTCCCTTTCTGACTCAAGGAAAGAGTGCCTGCTATTAAAATACTTCTCTCTGTCATAAACTGTATTTTCTCAAGTTAGGCCACCACAGAACTGCTTCAAAAGCTTAGATTCCATCATATCAACATTTTATGGATATTTACACATTACTTTACTAATGTCTAGGAGGCTTGGAACTTCAAAACGTCTGTAAATGTAACTATTCAAATGGATTAAAATATATCTTATAATGGATTTTAAAAAATCCATTAGACAAACCAGGGGTAGACATCATGTAAGGAGCGCTTTAAAAAGTTGTCTTTTGTTTTAAAAGGATCAATATCATGCTTCTGTATCAGCCTGGTGGGAATATCACAAAATTAATAGGTTTTCAGTTCTCTCATGTAGACCAACATATATTTCAAACAACCCCGACATTGTGCAAAATAAAAGGGTCCCAAATTAAATGGGAGATTTACCTGATGACTACTGGCATACTCTGACATTGGCCGTTTGTCTCTCTTGCTCTTATGTGAATGAGCATGAGAATCAACAAAGTTTAAATATAATTTAATATTTAAAAAAGAACATGGAGATCATGGAGAAAATGTTTGCTTGTTAGAATCTTAATCTATCTCTCAGTCCAGTTGAAACGTAGGACATTTTGAGAGCTGTGAAGGAAATACTGGCAAATTAAAATTATAATGATAGTTTTACATCATTATATCAACATTTAGTCAATCTGAGGTGGATTTTAAAACATCGTAGTGACCTCATGTTCTGTTATGGCCTAAAAAACTTCAAACTAACTTAGTTTGAAGAGTATTAAAACTAATACTCTAATAATACTTGTTTTTAAACGACTGAATTTAACCTTTAAGAAGTTAAAGGTCGTTCTAGAGCTAGAATAAAAGCATAGTTGCCTCCAATAGGAAACTACACCAGTTAAAAAAATCAACACTTCTACAAGCGAAGCTTGAATTTTCAAAACTCTTTCCATAAACCATGACAAATGCAAACACAAATGCACAAATGGAGGTACTTGTTGGCTACGACTAAAATCAGTGTAACCACTGAAACTTTTAAACTCTTAGCAATGCTAAAACAATAGAATGCTGTGAGCCACATTGCCAAAGTTAGCAGTGTACAAGAACCAGAAAATCAGAGTTTCTCAATCAGCAAATTTCAGTGCTTGGTCTTGTTTCAACCAGGAGTAAAATAGTTCAGAATTAATTTTATATTTAATGCTTTTTTAAAATAATGCTTACGGTACTTAAAAGCAATTAAAACACTATATGAATTGAAAGGAGAATTTCTATTATTATCATTATGTCAAAATAACCATAAAAACTTAATTGAATAGACAGGGAGCATATTTTAAAACTATTCAAGCAAAATAAAGTGACTTATTTCTTTGAGACAGAAGAAACCTATGTAAAAACCTAGCTACGCTATGAGCTATGCTAAGGTATGAAATACATCTCGTGGGCAAGTTTGACTTCCTGTATGTAATCATTTCTGTTTCCAGCAACCAATAAACGTAACAACACGTCCCAAACACCTATAGGAAGCTTTGACTATGTGACTTTATTTAACAGCAAAAAGCTTCTTGAAGTTTCCCAAATAAATAATTTCACATTTATGTTCAGTCTAAACTTTGAACATATCAAGGGTTTCAGTTTCAGGATGTAAATCAACACTTTTAAAAGTGAAGACTATGAAGTTGTTGGATTTATCAATGCAAACATCCAAATTAACATGGGTATTTTCCTCTGAACATGACCATTTTGAATTTGATCATTTTGAAACTCACCCATGTTTAGCTCAAAGATGCATTTTATATTGAAACTAATTTAATCTCAATAAACATGCATTTGTTTATTATCTGCTCAATATCTTTCCCCCAGCAGAGCTAAGAAGACTTTCACCACCACATCACACTTCCTAAACACCAGAATAAATAAAATTAAGATGTAAAACGTACCTCAGATCTAAAACACATGCTCAACATTCAGCAGACACTGTATCAAGGATTCAAGGATATTTTTACTGTTATACCACCTTGCTAGTTTGTGGTACAAAATTTGGACTCGAGTCCCAAAAGAAATTTACTACAGGAAATAAATAAATAATAAGGTAATTTAAGTGATATATATATATATATATATATATATATATATATATATATATATATATATATATACACTTGTTAGGGTGTTCATACCTAACAAGTGTATATATATATATATATATATATATATATATATATATATATATATATATATATGAACACTTGTTAGAAATCTTACTGTGTTTTCAGACATTTTGTCAACAGTATCCTTTATTAAGATTACAAAAACAACACTTAGAGCAAATAGGTTGGTTCTGGTGCTGTTTTTCCTTGCTTCATAAAGAAATAATTTTTGAGAACATTTTGAATTAGTATCAGTAAAGTCATACACATTTTTGGCAAAGAAAATTGCTTCAACGCACTTACTGAAAACCAGAACGTGTTCCTGAGACAGGTCCTTCCACAGTTCAGTTCTTTCGATCCTTCAGTGGCTTACAGAGAAATGTTAATCATATGAACAGGTCATCCAAGTACAAAGTTCATCCAGGTCCTAAAACATAAAGAATATCAAAATAAACCCTCCAAAAATGTGAGCAAGTTACAGGTGATCCTGGCAGTGTGGTCCAACAGGAGTAAACTACCTTCTGTCTAAGTGCTACATATAAGTTCTTAGGCTTCCTCATTTCAACAACTTCCTTAACAACTTTATTTTTCTACTTCCTTTTTTTTTAATCTGCCCACTGACCAACATGTCAGCGATATAAGAACTAAAGAACATCTCTCTCACATAGCTAACTTTAAAAAAAAATGCTTTGCTGTCTCAGTTCCAGAAAATATAATAACTAAAATACAGACATTGTTGGATTGGTAGTCAAAATACATCATTACAAATATAATTCTTAATAACATGAATTTATTTATTTTTTGTTGCAGTAGACTAAGATGATTGTGGTTGCAGTAAGCTGTCCTAATCTTGTTGTCACATGCAAAATGCAAGAACAATATGCAGAACCAAAACAGAAACAATAAAATGATTAAAAAACCAAAGTTTCAAAATCGAAATAAAATCAAATGTGACATTCTAGAAGGAAGCACAAATAGAAAATAAGTATTAGTACTTTACTTATTATCTATATTTTTCTTTAAAATGCTTAAAGCTTTTCCAATATATATATAT